ATTGCGAATAACATGCCTTACCTTAACACAGAATCGACCACAGAGTCCAACGTTTATATTTTTTCTACGACTCTTTGAGTTAACATGTACTAAACATGAGTGGAATTTGCACCGCAGCGCCCCCACACCTTGATGCTCATGACAAGAATAGCATGTATAGTTATCTTTATTGAAGTGAATTAGGTTTAAATCGCTGTCATGCATGAATTAATTATCTTTTTGCAATTTTACACATAATAATCCACGATGATCACATTACACAAAACTGAAATTGCACGTCAAAATAACACAGTCAATATTTTTTGAGACCCCCCCAAAATTTCACAAATCACGTTTTCAGGGGAGCCCATGTCTTATTAAGGGGAGCCGAGCTCCCCCGTAGTTCGCACCCTGGAAATATCAATAGAAAGTCTCTTGTCCAGTAAGATTAGAAGATCAGATTACAACTAGGCTAACTGCTATACATATAGCCTAATGATAGCCTAACGATCTTATTGTCAGGTTTATGTTCTGTTATGTGGACCGTTATTTTGTCATTCTCTTCTGTTTACTTCACTTCCTGTTTCAACACTATTTGGTTTCGGTGTGTGTATGGCGATAATACCGCATACCGCGCTATTGAGCCACTCAAAATTACCGCAAGGGAAATTCCCTCACCGCGACAGCCCTAATGACTAACAAATTTTTAACAAAATATTTTGTTTAACAAAAGGCTCGAAAAGAATACACTTTCACATTTTCTGCACTGATTTGAAAATTTGTGGATTTAAATACAGTAAAACAAAGAGAAAAACAGAGATGCAAAGGGAAAGTCTATAACTTTTGGAACAATGAGTGTTCAAATTCTCCAGAGGTCCGAACTTAATTACTCAACTGTGTTAAGTAATTAATGTCCAGGTGAGCTGGATACTCACTTGCATGTGAGGCAGACTTTGCACTCAGGACACTGCCAGCCGGCCCTCTTCAGCGGAGTGATATTTATGTCCAGACAGGCCCCATGGTAATGCTGGCCACAAGTGCAGCAGAAGAGCTGATTGAGCAAGTCTCGTGAACGGTCACACACCAGACATTTCACCGTATCTTTCGCTGAAAGGAAGAGTTAATATATAATGTGTCTCCAACTACACAAGGTATATCTTATGTGCAGTAATTTACGATATGAACAGATATGATATAAACGGCTCCATCGGGCTGTCATGAGCATAACTGTTTGCTTACTGTTTTTGTCTTAAAAGATAGATTAAAACTGATTAATCATTATATGGTTGTTTAAATGATTATATATATATATATATATATATATATATAAAGCCTCAACATTCTGTGAAAGAATTAGCATCAGGGAACGTGTGTAACAGAGATACTCACATCGGACAAGAGCTTGTTGGATGTGATCCGGGCACAGGAGGGTGTATGCCTTTATGTCTTGGAAGGTTCCGGCAGCAGCTGCACAGGGGTAATGAAAGGAGCGCCCACAGCTCTCCTCACAGCACTTTATGGATGCTCCAAGGCGCTTACAGTATGCACAGCACTATGAAAAGTTAATACAGAAACATATACATATATATATCAGAGGTGTAGTTTCAGTTCAATAAATACTCCATACATCACTATTAGAGATGCAGAGATTAGATTAATTTAGATTGGATTCATTTCAGGTCAATATGGACAAGTGGTGTTTTTACACAGCTCCAAAACTGCTCAAGTGAATAATCTTTCACATTAATAACTTGTTTTCCCTCTTTAGGGTTTTCTTTAGATTAAGTAGCACAGATCGCTAATAACGAAACATTTGCGAGAGTGTTTTTCTGTTATCACTGTTATTGTTAATAACATATCTCTGGTGAGTCTGCGTATCTTGCATTTAGGGGTAGTGGTCGACCGACATGGATTTTTTTAATGGCTGATGTCAGTATCTTAGTAGGTTGGCCGAAGGTTGATATGATATCACTATTTAAAGACAGTAAACAACACATACATAACAATTATTGCAATTACATTTATTTATTTATTTATAAAATCAGAAATAATAAATCACAAATTTGAACTGGATAAAAATAAATAAATATTTACCTTTAGATATCAATTTATTAATTCTGCAATCCTATTATAGTAATTGTTACAAGTAAGTTGTTAAAACATGAATAAAAAAAGTTAACACTGTAACCAACAAATTCACTGATAAGTCTGTGTCCACCGGGAATAATATTTTCTCAAATACAGACAAGATATTGCTAATTTTACTTATAGTACACAGTGAATATAGCATGAATATGACATAGCAGACAACTAGACAGTCTGCATCCACAAACCGTTACACAGATAGTACACAAGTTTCTATGCAGGCTACAAATGGCCACTTTATAAGACCTAACAGCTGGATTCAACAGCGTTGCCAGATTTGTGGAATTAAATATGTATTAGCTATTTAAAGACTTGTTTGAAATTAAAAATGTGTATTTGCTGAATGACAACTGTAAAAGTACTACAGCGTTTTCCTTTCTACTACTAAACATAGACCAGGTAAACACTATAATACATTTTCATATACCATTTGATTGCTTTGTTTAACAGTTCTGTCAAATGATTTATTAGCACAGATTAGCAAGAGCTTTACTGTCTTTGTTTAACAGTTCTGTCTATCAAAAATAAAAACACTGTTAATGGCTGACCCTGAATGATTAATATAATGCATTCATTTGCATTTTCTTTTCTGTAAAGCAATTCAATGATACTTATTAAAATGGCCAACTCACAATTTGTACACATATAATATTTATACATTCAGAAACACGGGATGAAGTGTGGCACAAACAAGTACTGAACCTTGCATGGCAAAAAGCTTATTTTCAGCGAGAAACCAAGTCTCTATTAAGGTGTATTCACACATTTTTGGTGTGACCTTTAAGATTTTAAAACAAAACAACACATCCCTCTAAACACCTTAACACAGTATATGTGAAAATTTAAACTGTGATGAAACACTTTTTTTTTTAAATCCCTTCCCAGCATAGGTCAATGACCAATAAGACATAAGCTGTTGACCTCAAAGTACTAGGAACACAAAAAAGGCACAATGACAACAAACAAACAACATAATAAGAAAATGCTGTGGTAAGCAATTACTTATAAAACAAAAATCAATTAAATTCATTAGGGTAATATAATGTATGTGACCGCTCTTTATTTTCTACTTTCAATATATTTTTTTTACCTTTTTTTTTTAGACTTTAAAAAGAAAAGTATGTCTTAAAAAACATGTTATCTTTTAATTTTTAATTTAATATTATTTATATTAACATAAGGCTTTTAAAATAATCTTTAAAAACATAAAATGTAGTTGATGTAGTATCAAAAATGCTGTGATACATAAATGGAGAAAAATGTCCATCTGTTAACCGCATCGCTCTTATAATAGACTTTTGAAGCAAGAGTGGGACAAAACTATAAACCCTGAACAGCAAGGTCATCATAACACGCTGTTCCTCTCACAGGCCCATTTGCTCATTACGTACTTCCCCCTCTTTCAGCATGTTTTTTTTTCCCTCATCTTTTACGATACATCCAGTAAAGCATTCAGCATCAAGGCGAATGTCATTCAAAATAAGGACTTGGATGAAAACTGGCCAGACATTTAAATCACCACCATGGAAAAAGCACTCACACTTTGAATAATAGAGGATGCCTGGGCCTCAGAAAATGGCCTTAAACTAAAAATGTCTCTAGTCAGCAGTCTCTCTAGCTCTCTCATGCTTTAAAAACCCTTGGCCTAAATCCCAAATGCAACAATATGCAAATACCTTTTAACACTGAGCTTTAAGCAATTATTGCCCAGGCGGTGAGTCCACTGGGGCAGCCTCTACCCACAATGCTCTTTTCTGAATCACTCTGAAGGACAGCCATATAGAGCTCTATGGCCATACTGTCCACTCTCAGGGCTAGGTGGGTGTTGAGTATCTCATCACTCTATTTCATGCCTCAAATAATGTATCAAACAGAAACCATCACCTCAGACATCTCCTTCATGGGGAGAAAAAGCCACAGCTGATACGTTATTGCTGCCAAGACTCCAAGGACACTATTATAAAGTAGAACAGCATTCCTTGAAATCTTATATGCAAAGAGGCATAATGGCAGCATTCCAAACGGAGCAGGCCAGTGATGAAAGATGCAGTAAAGTGTTGGATGAGTGTGCTGTACTGTGCACAATGTCGGCTGGTTTGTGTCTCGGTCAGTCAGTGTGTGGACTGCAGTTATGCAGTGATTCTGTTTATAGCATTTGAAATGGTTTACAGACATGACCCTAAATAGAACTTAATCCTGGAAGTTGTTTATGCACATTTGCAACTAATTTCTCGACTGTCAAGTCAACAACACATTACAAAATTGACCTGATTTACTATGTAAAAGCATGCTCTTGGTTTTATTGTGCATGATTTATTAAAAATGTATACAAAAAATCTTTGCAACCTATTACATTCGCTTATAAGTGCGGAGAAAATCATGTGTGGTAAGCTAAATGAATGATGTGGCAAAAGCAGATTATACGTGCAAATAAAGTCAGAAGAAGATGATCTGGTGGAAAGGACTGTGTGCAGTTCAGGTCATCCTCAGCCCTCTGACCTTTACTATTTCACAGCTCAGCGATTCTCACTATCAGGACAAACCTACATCATAACAAAGTCCGTACTGGAGCAACTCAGCCATCTTGGCAATGCCTTCCGGCAGTTGGCACTTTCCTCAAATGGGGAACTAATTGGTGACCCATTACTTTTTATAAAGAATTCTAACAATAAATATCATGCACTTTGTTTTGAGAGCTATTATATATGCATTTTTTTTTTTTTTTACATAAGATTAACCTAACTTTAAATGACAAAAAATAATGCTGTATTTTCCACAATGTTAATTAAGTTAATTTTTAAAAAAAGTAACATTACTTAAAAATTGTGACACCAAGGAAACAACATAATTTGTACCCTTTCTCAATTTCTAGGTAGTATTGACTACATTTGTCAAGATCAACCATTCAACCTATCACCCAAGTTATTTTAAAGGGGTCCTATTATGCTCTTTTACAAAGTCTTGATTTTGTTTTGGGGGTGTACTAGAACATGCTCTCATGCTTGGTGGTTCGAAAAATGCATTATTTTTCACATAATTTACATTATTACAATTAGGGATGCACCGATACCACTTTTTCCAGTACTCGCCCGATACCGATACTTTTATTTTTGGTACTTGCCGATACCGATATTTTTATTGCATTAGTACAGGAGACCAGTATCGGGCCCGATACCGATACTGCATCCCTAATTACAATACCTTTCTCCCCAGCCTGGCACAAACGGCTCAATTAGTTCCGGGTTTGATGAAGGCCCGCCTTTGCGGAAAAAGAAATGTGATGTGATTGGTTAGCTGTCCCAGTGCGTTGTGATTGGCGAACAGCTTAGATGGTGTTTCAGTACTGCCACGCCCCTTGCCAAAGCAGCAAGTTCCATCTGCTCCGGTTTAGTTAAGGATGGCGTCAATATTGCCATATCAATTTGAGCCGGATTCAGACCCCGAGAATATTGAACAAGAGGATCGTGCAGAACCTTTGCACACACGGATATTGCAAGACATATTAGAGTGGTAACGTTATTGTTGTTGTTGTTTTTTTTGGGCTAAATCACGTTTTGTAGATAGGATGTCAACATCCACTTAAAAATAAGAGCATTTACTATGTCCAGATAAGTGCATATGTATTATGTTTATTGTTCTTTAATTCTAACATTATAACATGAATTGCAGTGAAACTGTTATACAGTTGAATT